ACTGGCGTGTCTCGCGGCACGGCCCGCCCGGCCAAGGCGAGCCCCCGGCGGGGTAGGCCTCCCGCCCTACTGGCGTGTCTCGCGGCACGGCCCGCCCGGCCAAGGCGAGCCCCCGTCGGGGTAGGCCTCCCGCCCCACTGGTGTGTCTCGCGGCACGGCCTACCCGCCGGTGGTACGGCGCTGACTCGCCCGCTTGTGTGACGTACTATGGCAGTCAACCAAGTAATTATTGTTTCAGCAAGAATGTTTCGTTAGAACTAATCGTGGGGGTGTACTCTTCGTATTTTTCTCTTTGTGCGTGCTTGCCCCAGTACTGTTTGCTATTGTTTTCGAGCACGTACTCTCTTCTTTATAGGCTTTAAAGTTGACGCCTCCGTCCACTTTGCAGTTCGAATTCGTTGGCGTCTACACACAGTACACTAAACCTCACTGGAAATTGTTGTACCACTGCGAGTTAATTTTCGATAAACAAAATCCCGTTATCTTGCTAATAATTTATTTTATTCACTCAATTAATTTTTGTTTTGTTTGCAGGTGAGTATCCGCCCTCCTGGCTGTTGCCGCTTTTGCTGACCCAGCAGCTGCAGCAGCAGCGTGAGTCCCACTACTTCATTGTTATTGTTATAGTCGTGGAGAAATGAAGTTGAGGGGGAAAATGATTGCTCCTGTTATATCTGGTTGGCTTTCTGAGCAAAATTCAAAATTGACATCTACAAAAACGCGTGTTTTTACAGTACGTGCAAATAGTTATATGACACTGCGTGCCGTGTACTGAAGGTGCCCGACCCTCGTCGCTGCACCGCCGCCTGTCACCCCAAAGCGAAAACATAACTTGATTAAAGTCGTTCCTACATGCGACGGCGCTGGCTGGTGTGCGCGGGGCTTTTTAGGATGACGTCTCTGCTTCCGCGTGCCTGCCGGCTGATTGCGAAAAAAAATAAAATTGGCGCATGGTTGGTATGGGGTTGGGTGTTAGGGCGGGGGTGGGGCAGGAAAGCGAGAGAGGGAGAGCGAGCGAGTGTCGCCAATGTGATACGTTCACAAGTGAATTAGCACCAAGGTCTCTCTCCTGTCTGCTCGCCCGCGTTCCCCCGCCTCTCTGGGGTATATATATGGCTGTCGTTTCTGTTATTAATGGTGTTTTAAGTTTTGTTCTGCTGACGAGGAGGAGTAACTGTTTGAGCGAACGAAAGAAGAAAAAAAGCGCGGCATGTACACTGGCTCTGACTCGCGCCTTTATAAAGCAAAGGAGTGCTGCCTGATGGGTTTATTGCACGTGGACTCGCGGGGCGACTCGCCACTACTGGTCTTAGCGCAGCAGTAGTATACCCTGCAAGAATTGTGTCGTTTTCTCCCTCTTTAAAAAACAACAAAGCTTTTGTTGCCTCTTTTCTTTTGCCTCGCGAAGGGCACGTTGGTTGGCTTGCCTGGCTGGCTGGGCGAGGTGAAGGGTACACACAAAGGTTTTCTTAGCCTTTTTGCGACCTTTTTCCAACCATGTGTGTGCTGCTTGCGACTTTAAATTGAACGGTTCTGTTTCGGTTGACGCGGTACGATTTTGTCACAGTTACTCCTCTAGGTATCTGATAGTAGTTTTGTCTCTGTTCGCGGTAGCCACTTAAGCCCCTCGCTGTGTGCATTGTCTGCTATTACTCGTAAAAGTGTTGCTGATGCTGTTCTCGGAAGGCCGTCGTCAATCGGCCCCACCTCAACGATCTGAAAGCGCTACGCGCGCCCGCGCCCGGCTCTTGTTTGCCTTTGTACCATTTTTTATTTTTTATCACCTCTTCCCTTTTGTTGCCGCAAAGTGTTGCCGTGCGCCAAACCGGGCGCACTGCTTAATATTTCATTAAATCTTTGATAGTAATAATCCACTTTAAAGAGGGGGGTGCAGCTCGTCCGCTGCGGCGCGCCGACGCGGCAATCAGCCAAGAGGAGCAGAGGGCGGAAGTTTGGGGCGGAGAGAACTTGTCAAGTGGAGCGTGTCCCCTGCACCCTGCACAAGACTCAAGGTCGCGCCAGAAACTTATCCTGCCGTCATGATTTGGCCTAGGTAGGGGGATTTTGCGTGATTTTTGTCAACATAATTTTGCACTACAAATTAGAAATATTAAAATTCAGCTTGATCATTTTGCTCTTAAAATAAATTTACGCTTTTCCTCTTCTGCTCGCTGTATTGGTCGAAAGATACTAAAGATGGTTTTAAATAGTTTCTTTCTTTTTTGAAAAAAAATTTCGACACTATTTTACCGCCTTGATGTGCTCCCTCCTCCTCCGTCGGATTGGTGCCCTTGTTGCTGCCGGCACTGCTGCCGTGTAACTTGCAGCGTGTAACAGATGGCATTTGAAAGGGTCGACCTGACTGCGGTTTCCTGTATAAAACGCGCCGAGCGGCGAGCATTCCTTGGCGCACCGGCCGCTTTGCACCTTTCTGGAAATCGGCAAACGCACACGACAGGATAAAAGAGGGGAATGTGAGAGAAGTGAGAGAGACACGGAAAGTGGGGAAAAAGAAAAGGGGTGAGGTGGAAAAGGTGGAGGGGGCAGCAAGCGTGTTCATTGGCTGCGCCGAGCTGCTACCCTCAGGTGTGGGCGGCGCCCCCAGGTGTGCCGGCCACGCCCCGCCGCGCTCCG